GTCATGGATGATACTTGCTTCCTCCTCCCTTAAAATGATATCACACCTCACTCTATCAAACCCCTTCATCAAAATTACATTACACAACTGTTTATTGTGGGGTTTTTAATGTTTTTTCTTCTTAAATCTTAAATATACTCGACTTTCTTAACAATGCAAAATAAAAGTTAAAATTCATTTTCTAGTTTTTACTGCAAAAAACGTTGTTTTCTTTAGTTTTCTCTACGTCATCACAAAATCTTCCTCTTCTAAACCATCCCCTCTCCAGATATGTCGTTATGTTTAGACGACCCTTATATATCTGGTACTCTGTTGTATGCAAAAAAAATGCATATGGTTCAACACATTAAGCGCTCTACTTTAAATAGTGAAGCCAAACATTACACATTACCAAGAAAGGATGGCAGTGTACATACTTCTTGGTAATTCGAAGACAATTTTTCTTTTCTAAAAATCATTAGGGAAATAAACATGTATTTTTATTTGAAGTGAATGATGATAATAGTCTAAATCCCTGAAAGCATAGCAATAATCATTAAATCATTGTATAAACGATATCTTCGCTTGTCTTTTCAAATATACTCGACTTACTTAACAGTGCACAATGAAAGTTATAATTCTTTTTACTCTTTTTATTGCAAAAAAAAAACGTTTTTTTTTTCTCTACATCGTCACCAAACCCTCGACTTCTACCCACTCCCCTCTCCAAATATGTTGTTATGTATAGAGAATCTCTTTTATAGCTGGTACTCTGTTGTAAGCGAAAAATGATATGGTTCAACACATTGTGCGCTCTACTTATAATAGCGAAGCAATGCATTACACATTACCAAGAAAAGGGTGGCAATGTACATAATTCTTGCTAATTTGAGGAAAATTTTCTATTCTAAAATCAAATGGGGAAATAAACATGTATTATTTGAAGTAAATAATGATAATAGTCTAGAAAATTGTACAAAATCAAAGTAACATTGTGTAAATGATATCTTCGCTCGTCTTTCAAACGATGAAAACACAATGCTATTCCGTTTGCGTTTGCAATAACAGTAATATTTCAAACAAATAACAAACACACATCTACAATTTTTTACAGCGTATTTGAGACACTTTAAATACGTTTTTTGTTCTATTTCAAAAAAGGTTTGATTTTTTTTTTTTTTTTAAGTTGATTTATCAAAAAGATTTATAATAATAGAGAATTACTTCCCTTGTATAATAACCAAATAGGAAAAAAAAAACATTGGTAAACACTCTTCTGCATCGGAAAAATGAAAAAAAAAATTAAATAATATATGCGACGTTGTATCGAATCATATGCATACATTTAACATTAACTAATAAAGAAATTATGTAACCATGTGTGATACGTAGGCGTCACTAAAAGAGATGGTCAAATGTAGCTCAATTTAAAGTTATGTGTGTGTTCAATTTAAATATGGCAGACATTATGTTAATACAATCACTAATCAATTATTATGAAACTGTCATTTAAATTAGTGGTTGGATTAGTGGAGTGACTGATTGCACCGATTCTCTTCTCGACATTTTCACTAAGATCAAAGTGTTCTGTTATGGGTTATGTACGCAGTCAGGTAACCCATCTGAGGTGGGTGAACTTAAGGACGTTCTAAAAACTCGACTTCGGGACCCGAAATTAAGACATTCAGATGACCAATCGTGAGATATAAAGGTCTTAAATATATGTTGTATGTAAAATGTTATGTAAAAGAATAGATACTAGACTTGACTTTAGCGTCATGCTTACACACAGTTTGATAGTAAATGACATATTTCTTCTTAAAATTTGAAACGCTAGCTGATTGGTTAATTGCCGCATTCATTTTCGAAAAAAAGCTATCTAAGTTAAATTATTAGATATTTCGAACGCCAATAATATTAGTAAAATAGATCGTAACTAATTACGTATAGAACAACTTATTATACAATATAGCAACTCTGAATAATATATTGCTACCAATGTAACCTGTGTTTCTTCCAGACTTTTTTCTCGGGGGGGGGGGGGCGGTAGACTTTTGTCGGGGGTGGGGGGGGCAGAACCTTCCCAGAGAGATGTCTGAAAGAAACCCTGAATGTAACGACACCATCAAACATAAATTAAACGATACATTGTACACGTGTTTTTATTTACTTTAAAATATTTATAATATTTTCTTACACATTAAATAGTGTAATTTTTTAAGAAAAAAAAATTGTTCGCAATAAAACAATTATTATTATTTATTTTTTATTTATATACTCCCTGGATAATTGTGAAGTAGTTACTTACATTGTTAATGCTTTAATTGTGTAGGTTATTTAATAAGGTTAGCAAAGAAAATGCGTCATCTGCCCTAAGAAATTACGTAACAGTAAATAAAAATTACTTGTTTAATACTTTGTTCATTGTTAAAATAAAATCATGTCTGAACTAATGTGTATGTAACTTTATAATACACATTTAGATTACGAAAATTAAACGGCTGGTGGTTTACCAACATTACTGTCATTATTCAAAATAAAATATTGTGTTGCACTGTGGGTTAAGTATGATAATCTGTGTGACTTGTAATCTACTGTAAGTGAATATCTCAATGTGATAAATGATATAAGTTGTCTCAATCAAACAAGAAAGAACTCGAGTGAAAACACTGAATTGATCAATTTCAATTTCTTACTAGATTTCTTCTAAGCCGACATAAATGTAAACTCATCAAGTAATAAAAGAAAGAGTTTAGTTGTCGTTTTATTGCTTGATATTTTAAAAATACGATTTTATGTAAGGTGATTATCTTGAATATGTCGTGTGAATGCTTACATGACAAATATGTAAGTAAAGTCAAACGTTATACTATTCATATATCAGTGTTTACGTAACGTCAACTCACGTTTCATAATACATTATATTGTTATTCTGATTTTTTTTTTCTTTATTGTTTCCTAAAGTAAAAAGTGTAACAACATGCACATTAATGTTGCTCTAACTTATTGAATCGGTTTAAAAAAAAATGTGTATATTATGTCCTTCGTGCGGACTAATATTTAGTTTTATACAAACTGAAAAAAAAATATTTGAAGTTAACTTTGAGACACCAATGGCAAGAACTGCTGTACTAGATCTTTAGTGTTATTGAGTTCGTCATCACGTGGTCATGTCGTAGTCATTAGGCTACGTAACCAATTATTACCACTTTAATTACAATTCATTAAGCGGGACCTACTGACACATTTTCAAGATCAGTTTGGGATTTCCGAATAAATGTGTTATAAGTTATGTTGAAGTTTTCATGAAACTGATCAAAAAAAGGGGGGGGGGTAGTGTCTATGTCGATATTAAAATTAATATATATTTTAAAAAATAAGAAAGCAGGAAATAGGCTGTAGGCCTACTTAACGAGTGTTAGCAGACATTGCAAAATCCGACTTCATCTCGTGTCTTTAAAATTTGTAACACACATCGTGAAAGTATTTGTATTTCAATCACGTAGATAATTTAAATATAAAACAAAGAGAGTCAATAATCATTTTCAATTATTTTTTTTTATTATAAATTGTTTATGATTACACATGTAAGATCATATGCGTGTATTATTTTTTTTCTATTTATCTTTATGTTCTTGCTTTGTTAATTAATTGCGTATTTACTTCCCCTGCTAAAACTTTCAAAGCAAAAAAAAAAAAAAAAAAAAAAAAAAAAAAAAAAAAAAAAAAAACACTGCAACACTTACATTGCTCAACAAGACTAACAGTGAAACTTTCAGAACAAGATTGAAAAACAAAAACAAAAAAATACAATATAACACATAGCTCATCAAGAAAAAAAAGGTATCGTATAATATATAGGCCTATAGTGGCTATGATGGGAGCGGGTCAGATGTGGCTCAATATAAAGTTTTGTGTGAGTTCAGTATGGCAGAGATTATGTTAATACAATCCTTAATCAGTTATTGAAACTGTCATTTAAAGCAGACAAAGCAAAGTGTTGTATTTGTTATGTGTTTTGTTCGGGGTTTTTACCTGTGTCCGCGTATGTTCCTTCCTGTGATATTGCATAGTTGGTAAACAAGAATTAACGTTTGTAACAATAGCTCTTATTTAGCAACCTAAGATATAGGTGTATATGTATAGTCGGTGTTTAAAAGAGAAACGGGTCTTTAAGTGTGAGTTTATTTTTAGGATCAGGAATTAACGTTTTATGAGATCCTGTAAGTTTTCATAACACTTTTGTAAAATATGTTTTTAATGAGGCTAAAAGAAGCGCGTTTTTGTTTGATTTAAATGTTTTTTTTTTAATGTTTTTATTTTTCATTTTTTTATTATTTTTTTTTTTATTTTCAGTGAAGCAAATGCCAACACGTGTGTGAGTGCATTAGTCTGTAGAAACATTCAGATGTTTAAATAATGACATTTACATATAAGTGTTACGGTAATTGTAATGGCAAATACGTGGTGAAACTAGGTTTGATATGTAGAATTATCAATAGGGTAACTATTTGAAATAACTGAATGGTTCTAAGGACCTGACATATACGAGAATTTTTTTTTTTTAATTTTTTTTATTTACAATATTTGTGTTTTAATAAAATGAGTTTTAACTCCTTTTCAAAATAATGGTTAATTTCAACATGAATTTTTTACACTAGGCACAGGCTATTCAAAATGTACATTTTTACAAGGCAATAGAAAAATAAGTAATGCAAATAACGTTTAATCGACTATTTTGATCAGGTAGATGAAGTTACTTCATCTTTTTCCCTGACAATGGCTGCTTTTAGAGAATTTTCATTATGTGCTCATGCTGTCCCACAACTGCATTGAGGCTCTATTGTTCATGATCAACTAAAAAAGGCTCACATTTCAACAAGGAATTTAGTTCAAATTTAATATCAAATCTAAAACGAGTTGGTATGCAAAATTACAGATTACTGTCAAAAGGTTATATAAGTTACTTGCAGAACATTAAGAATTAATTGGTGCTTAACTTAAAAAATCACGGAAAACAATAGATATTTATATCAAATGCATAGATCAGGACACCATCAGAAGAAATTATTCCAGAACAGAATTCTTTAAATGTTCACTGTAATAAGAGAGCCAGTCTTTGATACCTTTACCACCAGTTTGTGAGATGTTGCTTTCTGAAATTAGTTTCTTGATGTTGTCTATTGAAGCTGTCAAGGCCTGGGAATCTTCTAAGTGTTGACTTAACACAGCATTAGCATACTTTACTGAAATTATTCTCTTCTTTACTTCAGATATTCTTTTTTCTAAATCATTTTCAGCCTCTGTATCAAGCCGTGTTAGCTGACAAACATCCTCTGGTAAGATAACATTAGCTGGTATAGAGAACACATCCCGAAGTAAAAAAAAAAAAACTCCATAACATCAAAAACCTCGCAAATATCTTTATCAATTAATTCACTGACAGCATGGCCGGCTTTTTTACAAGCTTTTATTTAACTCACTTCCTCTGTCTGTCTGTCTGTCTAGACGGAAACGCAGGAGTTAAAATTCGTACAGTTCTACTTGACCGATACGATTCACAGTTGGCACGTGGGTCAAGACATGAAGACAATGCAATCTGAAACTAAATTTGACTTAATTGGATGCCTAATTAATTTTTTATGAATTAATTAAAATGTGAACCGAATTAGTAGGCATGTCTAGCCAACCACACCACACGCGTCATCACCTTCAATAGCTGCGCCATCACGTAATGGCTGCGTTCAAAAACCATTGCGCGCCTACTGAACGTGATGTTCAGTAGGCGCGCAATGGTTTTTAGTCATGTAACTCTATTGTAAATAAAACTTGTAAAGTACTGAAAACAAAATTCATAAAAAACGTTTTAATAACAAGCTTTTATGTAATGATGCACTAAAAAGTAGAAAATAAATTATAGACTACTATTTAAATAACTATAAAGAAAAGCGTGGGTGTCTTCCTTAACATTAGTAAAGGTATCCAATAGATACTAAAGTGACCCACGCTTTTCTTTATAGTTATTTAAATAGTAGTCTATAATTTATTTTCTACTTTTTAGTGCATCATTACATAAAAGCTTGTTATTAAAACGTTTTTATGAATTTTTTTTACAAGCTTTTATTTAACTCACTTCCTCTGTCTGTCTGTCTAGACGGAAACGCAGGAGTGAAAATTCGGACAGTTCTACTTGACCGATACGATTCACAGTTGGCACGTGGGTCAAGACATGAAGACAATGCAATCTGAAACTAAATTTGACTTAATTGGATGCCTAATTAATTTTTTATTAATTAATTAAAATTTGGACCGAATTAGTAGGCATGTCTAACCAACCACACCACACGCGTCATCACCTTCAATAGCTTCAATGGCTGCGTTCAAAAACCATTGCGCGCCTACTGAACGTGATGTTCAGTAGGCGCGCAATAGTTTTTAGTCATGTAACTCTATTGTAAATAAAACATGTAAAGTACTGAAAAAAAAATTCATAAAAAACGTTTTAATAACAAGCTTTTATGTAATGATGCACTAAAAAGTAGAAAATAAATTATAGACTACTATTTAAATAACTATAAAGAAAAGCGTGGGTGTCTTCCTTAACATTAGTAAAGGTATCCAATAGATACTAAAGTGACCCACGCTTTTCTTTATAGTTATTTAAATAGTAGTCTATAATTTATTTTCTACTTTTTAGTGCATCATTACATAAAAGCTTGTTATTAAAACGTTTTTATGAATTTTTTTTACAAGCTTTTATTTAACTCACTTCCTCTGTCTGTCTGTCTAGACGGAAACGCAGGAGTGAAAATTCGGACAGTTCTACTTGACCGATACGATTCACAGTTGGCACGTGGGTCAAGACATGAAGACAATGCAATCTGAAACTAAATTTGACTTAATTGGATGCCTAATTAATTTTTTATTAATTAATTAAAATTTGGACCGAATTAGTAGGCATGTCTAACCAACCACACCACACGCGTCATCACCTTCAATAGCTTCAATGGCTGCGTTCAAAAACCATTGCGCGCCTACTGAACGTGATGTTCAGTAGGCGCGCAATAGTTTTTAGTCATGTAACTCTATTGTAAATAAAACATGTAAAGTACTGAAAAAAAAATTCATAAAAAACGTTTTAATAACAAGCTTTTATGTAATGATGCACTAAAAAGTAGAAAATAAATTATAGACTACTATTTAAATAACTATAAAGAAAAGCGTGGGTGTCTTCCTTAACATTAGTAAAGGTATCCAATAGATACTAAAGTGACCCACGCTTTTCTTTATAGTTATTTAAATAGTAGTCTATAATTTATTTTCTACTTTTTAGTGCATCATTACAAAAAAGCTTGTTATTAAAACGTTTTTTATGATTTTTTTTTTTCAATTCCTCATCACTCATAACATTTGGATAGTTTTCTTTTAATGTTTTACAAAACACTTTGATTGCTTCTCTGTAAAAGTCACACACTGCATTAAACATTCCATTAACCATGTTGATAGGAGTAAAACCAAAATGCTGTCTCTCATAGTCACATTTATTATCGCTTTTATCAGTGTCTGCATCAGCTTTCAAATTGTCATTGTCACAATGACCTTCAACTTTTGGTATTTTATCCATTTATTGTCTTTCCAGTAGGCTACAATTAATTCTAATCCAATGCTACTACCTAGTCTAGATCTAGAGATTCTAGATCTAGTCTAAATCTAGATCTAGATCAATGTAGACTAGATCTGTGTCTACCTACAGTACAGTCACAGTGGTACACACTATATTGTTACTATAGGCCAATATAGACTAGATCTACATAAATTATAGATCTAGATTCTAGATCTAGATCTCTATATTCTAAATATCACAACAAAACTTTACAACACACATAATACTCGACATATGCGAGAAAAAGAAATTCATTAAAGTACAACCACCTGTAGTTGACACCGCTGTTTTAATCGAATTCATCGAACTTGTTCTATTTTATCAACACACATCGCGACCGCGTTTATTTTTTACATACACATATATTTTAAATAGAAATAAAATATTATTCTACATTGTTTATCACTTTTAAAAATATTCAATAATTGAAGTTGTTTTAATTAATAAAATCCAGTCCGTTTTTTTTTTACAGTGTTTTCAATTGCTTGTCAATTTAATACCTAATTATTTCCCTTATGCCTTGGTAGCACTAAAAGAAAAAAAAACATATACACCACAGTGAACTAATCTTATAGACACATATAAAATGAACTAAAATAGGAAATATGTAATCGTGTAAGATTCTTATTTGTTACATTAAAGCGGGTCAGATGTAGCTACATATAAAGTTGTTTGTGAGTTCAATATGGCGGACATTATGTTGATACAATCCTTCATCAAGTTATTGAAACTGTAATTTAAAGCAGATACCACAATGGTCGGAGACTCGGCATATTGACTAAGATCAAAACGTAGTGTTAGTTATTTGTTTTGCACGGATGTCTTACCCATGGCCGCAGTTTTTTTTTTTCAACCTTAGGCAGGTACCCGTCTGAGCTGGGTGGACTTAAGAACGTCCTACATATTTGAACCCGGTATGAGCGATAGTGGAATATAATGATCTAAATAACGTCTACTATGTACAACACGTGTTACTGACAAAAATGATAGGTGTATGGAAAGCAATCATTTGGTTTATTCTATGTTTTCGTTCTATTATTGATAATTCGTCGTAAACATATTTGAAGGCTATAGCTAAGATTTCTGCTCGTTCTGTACTACTAATATTTAATTACGTTTCTTTTTAAGACATACAGGATATTCATACTTGGGAGCCGGACGTTTTCCCGAAAGACACTTGCCCGAATGCCGTTTGCCCGAAGGCCGATTTCCCGAATGGACACTTGCCCGAATGCGACAAATGCCCGAATGGACACTTGCCCGAATGCGACAAATGCCCGAATGGACACTTGCCCGAATGTGACAAACGCCCGAATGGACACTTGCCCGAATGCGACAAATGCCCGAATGGACACTTGCCCGAATGCGACAAACGCCCGAATGGACACTTGCCCGAATGCGACAAATGCCCGAATGCCACTTGCATTCGGGCAAGTGTCTTTCGGGAATTTGTCGTAGACCCTTCATACTTATGTGTACAGAATCATTATTATTTGAAAATAGTTAAAATAGTAATAAATTGTTTACGTAGCCTAATGACCACGTGATACCACAGGATGACGAACTCTATAACAGTAAAGATCTGGTACCACAATTGTTGCCGTTGGCGTCTTAAAGTAAACTTAAAATATGTTTTCTTTTAAGTTTGTATAAACTAAATATAGTGGCTGGATAAAGGGCTTGATATACACAATTTTTTTTTAAAACCGATACAATAAATTAAAGCAACATTGCATTACTGTGCATGCTGTTACACTTTTACTTTTGGAAACCATAAAAAATAGAATAACAATAACATTTGTTAATGAAACGTGAGTTGTCGTTACGTAAACACTGATCTCCTGATTTTATAACGTTTGACTTTAATTACACATTTGCCATGTAATCAATCACACGACATACTCAAGATAATCACCTTACATCAAATCGTATTTTAAACATATCTAGCAATAAAACGACAACTCAACTGTTTTATTTATTACTTAGTGAGTTTACATTGTGTCGACTTAAAAGACATTTAGTAAGGGAATTGAAATGGATTAATTCATTGTTTCCCCTCGTGTTCTTTCCTGTTTTATTGAGACAACTTAGATCAGTTATCACATTGAAATATTCACTCACAGTAGTTTTCTGGACAATGATCAAGGAGGAGTATAATTAATATATACACATCACATTTTTTAATTGCGAACTACAATTTGTTTTCTTAAAATATATCAGTAGGCTACTTATATAAAAAAAATATTATTCATAGTTTAAACAAAATAAAAACACGTGTACATAGTATCGTTTAATTTGTGTTTGATGTTGCCGTTACATTGGTAGCAATGTGTTGTTAATTTGATATATGTTATAATAAGTTGTTATATACGTAATTAGTTATAATCTATTTTACTAATAATATTTGGCGTTCAAAATGACCGATGATTTAATTATGATACATTTCTTTTTTCCAAAAAATGAACGCGGCAATTAGTCCACTCAGGTCAGATGGGTTACCTGACTCCTTACATAACCCATAGCAGATAGTACACTTTGATGTTAGTCAAAATGTCGAGAAGAGAATCGGTGCAATAAGTAACTCGACTACTCCGACCACTAATTTAAATGACAGTTTCAATAACTTGATTCATGAGTGTATCAACATAATACCTGCCATATTTAACACACACACAACTTTAAATTGAGCTACATTTGACCATCTCTTTTAGTAACAAATACGTATGTTACATTGTTACATAGTATCTATATATATTAGCTTATGTTAAATGCAGGGGCGTAGCGAGGGGGGGGGGGGGCGGGGGGTGCGGACCGCACCGGGTGACACCATTTAGGGGGGTGACACCAAGGCAAAAAATAGCAAAATATATAGAGAAAAACTCGAGGGGGGGGGTGCAAATCGAAAGTTTGAGAGGGGGGGGGGGTGCAAATCGAAAACTCGAGGGGGGGGGGGGTGCAAATCGAAAGTTTGAGGGGGGGGGGGGGGTGCAAATCGAAAATTTGAAAGTTTGTCCCTGGGAAGGGTCTCTATGCCTCTGGGGGGGTGACACCATTAAGTGCCGCACCGGGTGACACCCGACCTCGCTACGCCACTGGTTAAATGTATCATTATGATTCGATACATTGTCGCCCATATTTTTTGTATTTTTTGTTTAATTTTTCCGATGCTGGTATTTACCAATATTTTTTTCCTGTTTGGTTATTGTGCAAGGGAAGTAATTACATATTTTAAATAGACCATTTCGTAAACAAACAAAAAATAAATCAAAGAGACGTATTAATTTTTTCATAAATTTAGACATATATTCTACAACAAAGTTATTCAAAAACATACATAAAATAATAGATGTACATTTGTTTTATGTTTAAAATTTTTCTGTAATTGCAAAAAAAAAGCCACAATAGCATTCTGTTTTACCCATTTGAAAGACAATCGAGGATAGCGTTCAATCTACTTTGCATGCACTATTACACCATGTGGTGAAATATCCATATTGTTTTAAAAGAAAATACATATTGAGAACAGAAAACGTTCTTCAAATTACCAATAATAATGTACATTTCTATCCCTTTTTTGGTGATGTGTATTGTTTGCTTCACTATTAAAAGTAGAACCCATAATGTGTTGATTTGTATGCATATCAATTTTCGCTTACAAAAGAATACCATATATATAATGGATCTTTTATACATGACGACATATCTGGAGAGGGGAGGGGAAAGAACAGGAGGGATTTATGATGATAGAGAGAAAAATAAATCAAACGTTATTGCAGTAAAAACTATAAAATGAATTTTAATTTACAAACGCATATTTAGTTGTTTTTTTTTACAGTTTGAACATACAATTTGAAGAAAATAAAACATACCAACAAATATAGTGTTTCATTGCTTTGTTTTTAAAACAGTATTTACATAAGTAACGTTAATTTTTGTCGTGCATTTTTAGGGACATCTGCTGTTTTGATTTTTTTTCTATAGAATGTTTTATGTTTAATACAATACAAACAATTAATAGTGCGTAAATTAAATAACAATATTCTCAAACATAATTTTTCTTTGGTAACTGTCACATCCCGACACCTTGAAGTGAACGATACAATTAACTTGTCGTTCAACTGAATTCTACAAACCAGAAATAATAATTAACAAAGTTTGTGCTAACTGAAAGACATGGTGTTGTTGTTTACCTTCCTGCATCATAGGGAGAGCCGTGTGTCAACAGAAGGGGGAAGTGATGAACGAACTCAATAGCGACTCACACATTTCACGTGCTACCTCTTGTAACATTTGATTCAGATAAGTTAGACGAGGTTTATTGTTTATATGAAACAAAATAATATCATCAATGTATATTTTCCAAACAACTAGCGAGTTGACCACCTGGATGTTCCAATGTAGCAGAACTGGCAACTAAGTTAACCAAACATTATGCCATATATGTAGGACGTCCTTATGTCCACCCAGCTCAGATGGGTACCTGACTAACGTTAGGAAAAACTGCGGCCACATCTAAGACCTCCGTACAGAACCAGTGTGATATAGACCAAGTTGATCTTAGCCAAAAGGCCGAGAATTTTAATGGGGCAATCAATCACTCGACTTCTCTGACACGTGTGATGAATGCTTTAAATGACATTTTCAATAACTTTATTGAGGATTGTATCAACATATGGTCTTCCATATTGAATCGCACAATGATGCATTGGTGAAAGGGCGAGTCTCGTGTGTTGATAGTAGAGTTGTTCGATGGAGTGGAGCTTGGAGAGAATAGTTAAGTTGGGGGTCCTTGTGTTGAGATATCTTTTGAAGTGGGTTGAATTATTGTTCATTGTGGTTTTTAAGAAGAGTGAAGTTGTGTCGTAGTCTAGTAATTGAGGTAGGCGAAATGACGTTGAAGAATGAAGTTTTCCTGATATTGCTGAGTCGAGGGTTGTAGATGTGAGGAATTTGAGCTTGGT